TCATGGGGTTCTCATCATTTGCACCCTGCCCATTGACCTGTTAGGGCATGTTAAGAATTGTCCCCAATGTCTGTTTTCTGAAATCCAACCCCTTCCATCTGTTCACCTTACTGGGAGAAAGAGCGCATCGCCTGTTGAACTGCAGCCTAGCTCGAGGCTGTTCAAAGCCTAGACTTTGGACATAACAATGGATTAGTTGTTGTTGTTGTTGTTGTTTCTTCTTCTTCTTCTTCTTCTTCTTCTTCTTCTTCTTCTTCTTCTTCTTCTTCTTCTTCTTCTTCTTCTTCTTCTTCTTCTTCTTCTTCTTCTTCTTCTTCTTCCTCCTCCTCCTCCCTCTTCCTTCCTTCTTTCCTTTCTTTTTTTTCTTTCTTTTTTTCTTCTTCCTCCTCCTCCTCCCTTTTCCTTCCTTCCTTCCTTTCCTTTCTTCTTTCTTTTTCTCTTTCTCTCTCTCTCTTTCCTTTCTTTCTTTCTTTCCTCCTCTTCCCCTGTTCCCCCTCCATTTCCCCATGTCAGAGTTCAGATGATCAGCTCCTTGTCGGCTCCCATCCTTTTAAGGCAAACAAAAAATTTAACAATTTCATCTCACCATTTTAACTCCTCAATCCTGGGGGTGGGCGTGGGGGCTCCCCAAGGCCGTGAATAGCTCCTTCGACTCAGCAAGGAATTGTGGCAGTGGGTGGCCCACAGCTACGCTGAATGCCAGCCAACTGGCTGCTGGTATTTGAAGACAAGGAAGGTTTGGGAGACACCGTAAAAAGGGTGGTGGGAAAACCCCACATTTTTCTCCTCTCTGGTTAGAATTGGATGGGGATGGAAGGCTTGGAAGGGGCTGGATGGTGAATTTGCAGAGAAACAGGCCTCATATTTCCACTCCTCCTAAATGGATCTCTGTCCCTTTAAAGCCATCGACGTGGCTGGGAGAAAGGAGAGCTGACGCAGCTTCGTTCTCCCTTTTTGCAGCCAAAATTGGAGAAAAAGCTTGGGAGAAAAGAAAAAAAACAAACAAAAAACAAGTGGCGCTAGGCAACTGAGCTCTTGCGTCATCCGGGCCTCCCCTCCCTCCTCCCTCCTCCCAGCCTGCATCACATCGCCATGGCAACAGCATCCAGGGGATGGACATGTTTTGGGTAGCATCTCAGGGACTGGAGGAGAGGAATAGTTGGAAGGCTCTTCTCCCAAGCATCGCTGGAGGTTTTTTTAAGCAGAGATTGCACAGCCGTTTTGTCTGAAATGGGGTAGATTCTCCTGTTCGGGCAGCGGGTTGGACTAGATCAGGGATCAGCAACCTGCGGCTCTGGAGCCGCATGTGGCTCTTTCACCCCTTTGCTGCGGCTCCCCGTCATTCAAAATATGTGTCACAACCGCCAATCCGCCACGGTGACCAGTTCTGGTCACCGTGATACAAAAAAACTTGTTGAGACCCTAGAACAGGGATGGCGAAGCTTTTCGACACCAAGGGCCAAAAAGGTTGTGCGGAAACATCGCACGCGGGCGCGGGCCGCCCTCTGGAAAAAGCTGAACTTCCGGGTTCTCACGGGCATGCGTGCCTGACGATCAGCTGGCTGGCACGCACGCGCGGGCTGGGTTTTGGCACTGCCGCGCGCGCGCAAAGGGATCGCATTTTGGAAAAGCCGAACTTCTGGGTTGAGGCACCCATGCAGACACCGGTTTTCGGCAGTGCCACGCGTGCGAAGGATAGCTGATCATTGCTCGCCCATGCGCACCAGAAACCCAGAAGACAAAGAGGCAAGGCCACGCATGCTGGGCGACATGGATTTGTGTGCCACTTTGGGCACGCGTGCCATAGGTTCGCCATCACGGCTCTGGAAATAGGGCAGGGAAGAGCAACAAAGATGATTAGGGGATTGAAGGCTAAAAGATATGAAAAACGCTTGCAGGAATTGGACATGTCTTAGTTCAGGAGTCAGTAACCTGTGGCTCCGGAGCTGCATGCAGCTCTTTAGGCCCTGTGCTGTCACTCACTGTCAAGTGATCCCACCACTGGATATGGGTTAGAAACGTGAATTTCACTCAAGCCCAAAATTTTTACAAAATGTTTTATAGATGGCACTTAGATCCCCAAAAGTTAGCCTGTATGTACCCGAATTTACAACCTACATGTTGGAGATGTAAATGGGATGATGCAACGTATTTTCATGTACGGTGGACACGTAAGAAAATTAAGGCATTTTGGATTAAGATGTGGTGGGTTATACAAAATATTCTTAAAAGGAAGATAAAATTTACTCCACAGTTGTTTTTACTGGGTGTAATTGAAGGATGTACAGTTACAGAGACTAATTTGATTCTGAATTTAATAACGGCAGCCAGACTTTTGGTGGCGCAATATTGGAAGAAGGAAGAAATACCTACTATTGAAGAATGGACATTAAAAGTGGCCAATGTGGCGGAAATGGCTAAAATTTCTGCATATTTGAAGGACCGTTCGAATGAAAGATATGTACTGGAATGGAGAAGATGGATTGACTATATACAAAACAAATACGGGACTAAAAAGTTGCAAATAGCTTATGAATGAAATATTTAGATGAGGTTTTTTTTTCCCCCCCTTGATATCTTAGTACCTATGGCGGAGTTAAAGAGTAAAGGGGAAGTTAAGAGTTTATAGTTAGTTTGCTTATGTTAGATTATGTTTGTTAAATGCAATAGCCTGTATTTTGCTCTGGGAAGTTGGGGGGGAGAGGGAGAGGGGAAGGGGTGGGGGAAGGGGGGGAATTTGTTTGTAAAGCATTTTAAAACTTTTCAATTAAAAAAAAAAAAGTGATCCCACCACTGGCTGGCCCCCCCCTTGTCCTCCCAGTCGCTCCTCACCTGGCCTGAGAAGGTAAGGGTGACGGTAGGGGATGGAGAAGTGACCAGGGAAGAGACAGAGTGATACAGAGAGAGGGGGAGAGGGAGAGAGAGACATAGAGAGATACAGAGAGAGGAGGAGAGGGGAGGGGAGGAGGGAGGGAGGGAGGGGAGAGAGAGAGATGTCAAAAGGATTTTGTGGTTCCCGGTGTTTTTTAACAACTGGTTCTCTGCCCTAATGACCGGCTGGGTAGGCGTGGCTGGGGGGCTGTCATGTGACTGGTGGAAGAGAGTGACATCGAGTTGGCCACGCCCACCCAGGTTTTGTGGCTCCCGGTGTTTTCTTTTCTGTGGGAAACGAGTCCCAATGGCTCTTTGAATATTTAAAGTTGCAGGCCCCTGGTCTAGTTTAATGAAAAGAAGGACCAGGGGGGAACCTGATAGCAGTCTTCCAATATCTAAGAGGCTGCCACAAAGAAGTGGGGGTCAACTTCTCCAAGGCACCCGAAGGCCAGACAAGGAATAATGGATGGAAACAGAACAAGGAGAAATTCAACCTAGAAATGAGGAGAAATCAGTGGAACAGCTTGACTCCTGGCTTTTGAGTGCTCCATCACTGGAAGTTTTCAAAAATAAACTGGACAACCATTGGGCCAAAATGGTATAATATAAGGACTCCTGCCTTGATCAGAAGGTTGGACTAGAAGACCTCCAAAGTCCCTTTCAGCCCTAGGATTCTAGGATCAGCAGTTCAGCAGTCGTTTCAACTGTGAGAGAGGCACCATATAAATAATATATGAAATAAAATAAAATAAAATAAAAATAAAATAAAATAGTGGAACCAATCTCCTTCCCTATCCAAAACTCAAAGAATTGCTGCCAGCCAGTGCCAACATAATTAGTTTAAAAGCAGGGTGGCATGGCCCTGGTAGGAGTAATGTTCTTGCAATTTGGATTTGCTATGAAGCTGAAGTAGATACTAGATACCACTCTGGTCATTATTGCCAACTTGCTTTAAGACGGGTGGAATTCAACTCCCAGAATTCCCCAGCCAGCATGCTTTAAGATGGGTGGACTACAACTCCCAGGATTCCCCAGCCAGCATGCTTTAAGATGGGTGGAATTCAACTCCCAGAATCCCCCAGCCAGCATGCTCTAACATGAATGGACTACCACTCCCAGAATTCCCCAGCCTGCATGCTTTAAGATGGGTGGAATTCAACTCCCAGAATTCCCCAGTCAGCATGCAACATGGAAGTCCACACCTCTTCTAGCTACCAAGGTTGAGAAATTCTTCTATCATGAATAAATCAGCCACCAAAAAGAGAACTTGGAATTTGACATTTCGGGGGGGGGGGCAAAATATCTACAGGGGATTCCCTCTTTGTACCCCCAACTATGTAGTATCCGCAATCTTAACTAGTTAAGTTGCCTTTCCCATATGTGTATCCAGGCCCAGTCAACTCTCACCCCAGCTGTAGCAAAAGGATGCTAAGGAGCTTCATCTGTTGCTATGGAAACCCCAGGTACCAATGAGGAGACGGCAACCACTAGCCTCTGATGTCACTGATGGGATTCCCAAATGCACCAATCAATTTTAAGAGCTGCTGGGTGGCTTGGATTTTTTCTTTTTAATCACAGCTTCGCCACAGCTCAGCGTGGAAGGGATGAGTCCGTGTAGGCGCCCCCAAATTAGAATAAATCAAAAGATTTATTTAAATATTTTAAATAAATCGACAGATTTAGATGAGTTCTGGCCTCTGCTGGGTTATTTTCAAGCAGTGTGCTTGATTTTATGCCACGGGCAGAAGTGGGCTGCTGCCGGTTCGGGCGAGCCGGTAGTTCCGAACACCGGCTGGATCCGCCCATCTGCCCTGGCGCTATCCCATTCTATATAGCTCACTCTCTGGCTCGCTCGCCCCACCCACACAGCCCAGCTGATTTCCATGCCTCACCCTGTCGATTCACTGCGGCTGCCCGAGAAGGCGTGCTGTAAGCCGTGTGCATGAAATTGCTGTGTTTGAAGCCGCGCGGAAGCGCGAAAGGTGCACGCACGAGAGAAGCAAGCTTGCGCGCGCGCTCACATTTTTGGTTCTGCGCCAGGCGAATCGATTGTTAAAATTATGTGATGTCCACTTCTGGCCAAGGGTATCTAACCTTGGCCACTTTAAGAGCTGTATTATCGTAGGTGGTGCACTGTGATATTTTATTTTTTTAAGACACAAAACTGAATGACTGCAGTAAATTGTCATCAGGTCAACGTCCTTAGTGGGACCTCTGGTGGACATTGAATGATACGGCTTAGTGTAAAATGTGGTCTTAATCCTGTAGAGAAGAGATTTGCAAGAGTGTTTTGTTGTTGTTTTTTTGAGGTACGTCGAAAGTATTTTTCAGGGTGTTGTGGCCCGTCAGCGGCCTGTGCAGCTAGGAGCTGATTCCGACAGCGAGGAGGCTGATGTGGTGCTGTGCCAGCAGCCTGTGTAGCTGGCACTCGAGTCAGACAATGAGGAGGCTGGAAAAGATGTGGTGCCAGAGGCGGGGATTCAGCCAGGGCCTTCAGAACCTCCAGAAGGCTTCTTTAAGTGAAGAGGAAGAAGAGGAGGAGCCTCTTCTCGATGCACGGGCGCGCAGAGCTGCCAAAAGGCAGGAGTGGCTCCTCAGGAGGAGTTCTCCTCGAGAGTAAGGCTTGGGGCTATTTGGCCACTCCCCTAGCCTATTTAAGGAAGGACCACAACTGAGGCAATTTGCAGGAAACAAGTTCGTTCACTCTCCTTCGCGTCTTGATCCCAGAAACGTCTGATCGGCTCTTGCTTCTCTCTCGTCAGTTTTCCTGCAAATTGCTTCTGGGCATTCTGCCAACCACAGTAAGATTACATTTACCTGAAATACTGTGCCTCAGAATTGTGTTATTATTCTTTGGATTCTCATCGGCTGTTAATGAAGTTAAATTAACAGCCCTTGTTCAGAAAAGACTGATTTAAACTGTACTTGTGTTCGAACAACTACTAAGAAAGCTCATTAGCAGTCCTTAATTAGTAAACTAAAGTTTGTACAGCTTTGTGTGTGCTGCGTTCTTTGGGGTCCGTAAATGGGGCAGAACACAGGGGGAGAAAAATATTTGCTGGGGAGGGAAGGAAGAGAGAGAGAGATGCATCAGGACTGAACGCAAACAAACGGGAAAATTATCATCAACGACCTCAATTCTTTCACACAAAAGCGGCTTGCGGCATGGGAAAATTCTTACTCTCCCCCAATGGGTTTTTGTATTTTAATGTTTTATTTCTGAATAAAATAAAAATAGGGGGAAAAAAAGAGAATAAAAGGAAGGCAGAAGCCAGGAATCTGAAACGACCAACCCAGGCATATCGATGTGAGTTGGACGTGGGGAAAGATTTTGCTTTGCCGTGATTCATTTAAAAGGGTCTTGACGATCATGACACGCGCAATCCAGATTTGGCAGCTCCGAGTCTCCTGCCACGGAGGAGTTCTTCCTTCTTCAGCCTGCAGGATTTTGTGCAAAATTCAGCTCCCATGCAATGAAGGGGATGCTTAGAGTATCACCTTCCCAAGGGCTCTACCTCTCAGGGTGTTGCAGCAGCCGCAACCAACTCTTTTTTCTTCGCTACCCGTTCAGCTGCTCTGGCTTCCTCCTCGGCTGCCAACCTCTCTTCGCGCTCCTTCAGAAAGACTCCATATTCTTCGGGGTTTAACCTAACCGGAGGAGAGAAGAGCGAAGGTTCGAAACTGTCCGCTCGTCGCACACACAAACGCCCGCTGTCGAGGTGTCAATTAAATACGAGCCAACAGTGTGTGACGGCAGCCAAAAAAGCCAATGCAATCCTAAATTGCGTTAACAGAGGGATGCAATCAAGATCAAGGGAGGTACTAATACCGCTCTATAAAGCCTTAGTAAAGCCACACCTAGAGTACTGCATCCAGTTTTGGTCTCCACACTATAAAAAAAGAACTTGAGACTCTAGAAAAAGTGCAGAGAAGAGAAACCAGGATGATTAGGGGACTGAAGGATAAAACATACAATGAACGGTTGCAGGAACTGGGGTATCGCTAGTCTAGGGAAGAGAAGGACCAGGGGAGACAGGAGAGCATCTTCCAATATTTGAGGGGCTGCCCCAGAGAGGAGGAAGGGGGTCAAGCTATTTTCCAAGGCACCCGAAGGCCAGACAAGGAACAATGGATGGAAACTGATCAAGGAGAGATTCAACCTGGAAATAAGGAGAAATTTTCTGATAGTGAGAGCAATCCACCCATGGAACAGAAGTTGCCTTCAGAAGTTGTGGGAGCTTCATCCCTGGAGGCTTTCAAGAAGAGACTGGACTGCCATCTGTCAAAAATGGTGTAAGGTCTCCTGCTTGGGCAGGGGGTTGGACTAGATGATCTACGTGGTCCCTTCCAACTGTGTTAATCTATATCTGTAGCTAAGGTTGACTTGGAAAGCACCTCTTTCTGCTCGCAGCTTGAAAAAGAAGCTGAGGGAAGCGGGAGGGGTATGATCGGAACGTATGGGAAGCGGGAGGGAGGAAAGGAATCTACGTGAGCCGTCTGCAGCCCGAGAAAATCTCGCAAACCCAAGGTCAGACAGTCTGAAGACTTTCAAAAGGGGCTGACCATTTCCCAAAACAAAAGGCTCAATCTGGATCGGTGAGCAGTGGACGGAAGGCGGCCCGGGGAAGGAAAACCGGGTTTCGTTATACTACGTTTCGCGCCAAAATCTCAGAACTGCCTTCGCTTCTTCTGTGCCTGGATGGATTTGTCGGTAAAGTTTTACTCTTGGTAATAAAGTTTTCTTTTGCTGTGCATGGCAACTGGATGATTGACACCCACAGCTGTCCTTTCGCCAGTTCCTGAACGCACCTCGGAACTCTGTCATGTTGCTTTTCACTTTCCTTTTCTCAACAGGGTTACTAGGAAGCGGTCCTAGGCACAGGTAGTCCTCGACTTACAACGGTTCATTTAGTGGCACTGGAAAAGTGTACTGATGACCATTTTTCACATTTATGTTGTGGCCCGTACGTGGCCTGTGCAGCTAGTAGCTGATTCAGACAGCGAGGAGGCTGGTGTGGTGCTGCCAGCACTCGAATCAGACAATGAGGAGGCTGGAGAAGATGTGGTGCCAGAGGCGGGGATTCAGCCAGGGCCTTCAGAACCTCCAGAAGCTCCCTTAAGTGAAGAGGACGAAGAGGAGGAGCCTCTTCTCGATGCATGAGCGTGCAGAGCGGCCAAAAGGCAGGAGTGGCTCCTCAGGAGGAGGTCTCCTCGAGAGTAAGGCTTGGGGCTAATTGGCCACTCCCTTAGCCTATTTAAGGAGGAACGCCAACTGAAGCAATTTGCAGGGAACAACTTCGTTCACATACCTTCATGTCTTGTCTTGCTTATCTTATCAGCTTCCTGCAAATTGCTTCTGGGCATTCTGCCAACCACAGTAAGCTTTCAGTTATTATTCTTTGAATTCTTGGCGGCTGTTAATGCAGTTAATTAACAGCCGTTGTTGTAAAAAACTGGTTTATTTAGTAAATTAAGGTTTGAATGGACTTTGTGTGTGCTGCGTTCTTTGGGGTCCATAGCTGGGGCAGAACAGGTCATAAGTGGAGGACTACCTGTAGCAGGATGTCTTTCTCTTCTCTCTTGGTCCTATACCAGGTCCTTCCAGCTTCCCCCTGCCCCCACCCCCTTGTCCCTCTTGATACTTACTCTTTCACTACTTTGATGCCGATCGATCGGGCGGTTCCCATCAGGCACTTGATCATGGTTTCCAGTGGCCAGTCGCGGATCACAATCGAGTGGTCCTGGGATTTCACCAACGCTATCTCGTACAGCTGCTTCAGGGTCACCATCCCGGCTATCTCGTGTCCTGTCGGGGATGGAGATGGTTATAAATAGCACTAGCACTTAGACTTATATCCTGCTTCACAGTGCTTTACAGCGCTCTCTAAGCGGTTTACAGAGTCAGCCTCTCATCCCCAACAAGCTGGGTCCTCGTTTTACCAAACTTGGAAGGACGGAAGGCTGAGTCAACCTTGAGCTGGTCAGGATTGAACTGCTGGCAATGAGCAGAGTTAGCCTGCAATACTGCATTCTAATGGGAGGGAGGGAGGGAGGGAGGGAGGGAGGGAGGGAGGGAAGGAAGGAAGGAAGGAAGGAAGGAAGATCCGTCAATAGCACTTAGACTTATATACCACTTTACAGTGCTTCACAGCCCTCTCTAAGCAGTTTACAGAGTCAGCCTCTCATCCCCAACAAGCTGGGTCCTCACTTAACCAACCTCGGAAGGACAGAAGGCTGAGTCTACCTTGAACCGGTCAGGCTCGAACTGCTGGCAGTCGGCAGAATTAGCCTGCAAAACTGCATTCTAACTACTGTGCCACCATGGCTCTCCCAAGCTCAAAGTCGTCCCAACCAGTAGCCTGGTGACTGAACTGAGGGGGGGGGGAGGGAGTAGTAGTAGTAAGGGTTGTAAAATGGGGAAAAACTCACTTAACAAATGTCTCCCTTAGCAATAGACATTTCGGGCTCAATTGTGGTCGTAAGTCGAAGACTACCTGTACTTGGCAACTGGGCCACACCCAGTGCTAAGACCTGTTCTGTTCCTTCTTCACCCAGCCTCCTCCCTCCAAGTCGCCTAGATTTTCCTCTCAGTGTATTGTCTGAGTCAATATACTTTTTACACAATGCTAATAATAATAATACAATTAAATATACATAATCATAGCCTTCCAACTTCTAACCTTAATATACACATTGTAATTATAATAAATTCTGTTTATTCAGAATATACACTATTCTGTGTATAATACTATTTTCCCAATTTGTACTTTCTACAAAAAAAAAGTTTTTTTCTAATTTTTAATACAGTCACCGTATTAAAAAGTATTTTGTCTCTATCCGTCGTCTCTTGTTTCTTTCTCAATTCTTCTTACCAGGTGATGAAGCTCCCTTTTCTATCCCAGCTGCCGAGAGTAAAAAGTAGGTGGTTGTTGGTTTGTTTATCTGAAGTTCATAAGACCTGTCAGACTATGTTGAAAAAAAAGAAAAAAAGAAAACAGGAGAAATAAATACAGAACGCTGGAATTACCGTATTTTTTGGAGTATAAGACACACTTTCCCCCCCCGCCAAGAGGGTGAAAATTTGGGTGCGTCTTATACTCCTTTAAAACGACATTGCCCAACCTAGGCAATTTAAAAATACGTCGACTTCCAACTCCCAGAATTCCCCAGCCAGCTTATCTTAAAAGACCCTAAGGCTGGAAAACGCTGCTTTAAAAGAAGCTGCAGCTAGGCCTGAGCCTGGAATTTAAGTGTATTGTGTCAAAATGTCTGAAAGAACAGATGGCCTGTGGGGTAATTCCAGGCCGGCTTCTGAACTGGGGATGGGTGGGGGGTTTCGGGATGTTGCTCAGGAATCCTGGAAGTTCCACTCCAGTCCCTCCTGCTTGAAAAACTCATTGAAATTAAGAAAAGGAAGATCTCGTTTCACCTTTATGAGGATTTTGGTGGGCAGCGGGATGCCTGGTATGAAGTCCTTGGTCCGCTCGTTGAAATCCTTGCAGAACTGTCCAATGGGAATGCCGTACTTTTTACGGGAAAAGAGAAAAGAGAGAGATTGTCATTTAGCCAAAATTAAAACCTCAATTCCAGGATCCTAACTGTTTTCCCCAGAAATCGTCTCTCTGTGCTAATCCAGTGGTTTTTGGAACCGGTGGTGGGAAATGGTGGGGATTGGAAGGATTTATACTGCTTGCAGACAGTGCTGGTCATTTGCATTTTTTAGAGAGTCGTTGAGGCAGGGGTGAAATGCTGCCGGTTCGGACCGGATCACCTGATCCGGTAGCAATGGCGGCGGGTGGTTCGGAGAACCGGTCGCAAAAATCCCTGCCCACCCACCCCTCAATGCCCAGCTGAGTTGCGCAATCATCAGAGGCGTTTTTTTAAAATTTTTAAAAGCATTTTTTTCTACAATCTCTTCGGCTGAAAAAATGCTTTTAAAAGTTAAAAAAAAGCCTTTGATAATCAGGGATCAGCTGGGATCGTCAGAGGCTTTTAAAAGCATTTTTTTCTACAACCTCTTCAGCCAAAGAGGTTGTAGAAAAAAAAATGCTTTTAAAAGCCTCTGATGATCAGGCAACTCAGCTGGGATCGTCAGAGGCTTTTAAAGGCATTTTTAAAGAACCTCTTCGGCCATAGGTCATCTAGTCCAACCCACCCACCCCACCCAAGCAGAAGACCCTTCACCAGGGGTCGGCAACCTTAAACACTCAAAGAGCCACGGGAAGGGTTTTGTGGCTCCTGGTGTTGTGTTTTCTGTGGGAAATGGGTCCAAATGGCTCTTTGAGTGTTTAAGGTTGCAGATCCTGGTCTAGTCCAGGGGTGAGGAATGATCGGATGGCCCCTTTATGAGTTGTGGATTTCAACTCACAGAATTCCTGAGCCGCCATGGAGTTGAAGTCCATAAGCAGCATGGCTGACTCAGGAATTCTGGGAGTTGAAATTCACAAGTCATAAAAAAGCCATCGTTCCCCACCCCTTGTCTAGTCTCAGATCAGAGATGGGTTTCAGCAGGTTCTGACCAGTTCTGGAGAACCGCTAGCAGAAATTTTGAGTAGTTCAGAGAACCGGGAAATACCACCTCTGACTGGTCCCGCCCCCACCTATTCTCTGCCTCCCGAATCCCAGCTGATCGGGAGGAAATGTGGATTTTGCAGTAACCTTCCCCTGCCATGCCCACCAAGCCACGCCACGCCCACCAAGCCATACCCACAGAACTGTCTCAGATGCTATCTTTATCAAAATTAACCTAACTTTGCTACCCTGTCTTTCTCCTGTGGTTACCTGTCCAAGAACGGGTCCTAGAGGTGGACCTGGAACAGCCTGTCCAGCTTTGATGATTGACCGGATCACACCTCCACTAGTTATCTTCACTGCCGCTTTGCCAGCTTGGGCAAGCTTTGACATGATGGTTTCGGTTCTGCAGAGACCTAGATTAAAAAGAGATTAATTGAGAAAGGGAACTGAGATGACTGGAATCTCAGAACGGTTATTACCAATTGCTTCTGAACCTCAAGTTCAGATGCGTAGTCTTCAACTCCCAGAATTCCCCAGCCAGCCCAACTTCTAGAATTGAACATTCGGGGAGTTGGAAGTCCTCTCTTCTTAAAGCTGCCAAGGTTGAAAAACACTGGTCTTACACAAATGTGATACGAATTGTTTTGAGATGGAGACCACAGGGAGAAAAATTCCGTTTCACAGGGAGAGGGATCCAAATGGATGCTGAGAAAGAATTAGAAGCACAGCCAGGAGACAGTTTAGAACAGCAATCACTGCTGTGGACTACTGGTGGTTGTGAGAAAATTTTGGTGGTCCGTAGAAAAATTATTTGCAGTTTTTATATTGCACTAAATCAGGGGTTCTCAAACTATGGCCCGGGGGGTGGGTACGTGCAATGAACGTTTGTGTTGCTGCAGAGAGTCTCCCCCTTTGGGGTCTTTTTGTATCGGTCGGAGGGGGGCAGAAATTCCAACTCAGGGAAACTTCAGCTTCCTGGTGTGGGGCTTTGGGCGAAGGCTGGAGGAAGCACCGCTGGTGGCGAAGAGCCAGAGGGCCTTGTTCCAGTGGGACTGCCTCGTGGCCTGGAACTGGCTGACCATCTCAGCCCACTGAGCTTCCAGGCACCGGTACCTGGCCTTGCACTCCCACAGATCTTCCCTGTGCTTGGAAAGCCTATGCTCCTAGTCCTCAGTGAGGTGCTTCTGCTGAGCCTCCTTCTCGGCCAGATCCAATTTGAACTGAGCCAGCTGTTTTGCCAACTCTTTCTCATGGTGGCTGCTTAGCTCCAACAACTGCTTCCTGTTGGGGCCCTAAGGAGCCCAGGCAGGCAGGAGAGGAGTCGGTGGGAGGGGTGAGTAGAGGCTGGCAAGCTGCCCCTTGACATGAGTGACATTGAGTTGGCCATGTCTACCCAGTCACATGACCACCTAGCCATGCCCACCCAGCCAATCATTAGGCAAATCATATTAGTGGTCCGCGGAATTTAAAATTATGAATTTATTAGTCCCTGAGGTCCGAAAGGTTGGGGATCCCTGGTTTAGAATACTTGCTTTGCAGGCAGATGATGTTAGGTTTTTCCTTTTCAGCAACCTTCAGTTTTACGGCACAGGTAGCATAAATTGATGCCAAATTGCAGCCCTGCAACCGAAGAAAACAGAGTTGGTCTTTCTAACAAAAAGCCCCCTTCAGCCACAGAATACTTGCATGCAGCCTCATTTGCAATACTGCCACTTTTCATTATCTAACACTGCAGCTATCTCCAACCTAGTTTCTTCCAGTAACATCGTTATCGCAATATCCAACATTTCCAGCCTGAAATTAGGATTGTCACCCAACCCGCCTGGGAAGGCACCAGGCTGGGTTTATACTTCAGCACAATTAGCAAATCCAACACATTGGGTGGTTTGTAGCTCAATACCCAGAGGATTGTACGCCCCCAGCATGCTAAATTTGATACATTAACTGGGTTTGACTGTGCAAATCAAAGCAGGCTAACTGTAAACTGTGTAAACTGTGTAACTGTGCAAACCTAACCAGTGGTTTAATTATATTATTTGTGTAGGTATATGGTATATTACAGCTAGTATGGGGAATTCTAGGAGCTGAAGTCCACCCATCTTAAAGCATGCTGCCTGGGGATTCTGGGAGTGGAAGTCCGCCCATCTTAAAGCATGCTGGCTGGGGATTCTGGGAGTTGAAGTCTACCTATTTTAAACCATGCTGGCTGGGGATTCTGGGAGTTGAAGTCTACCTATTTTAAACCATGCTGGCTGGGGATTCTGGGAGTTGGAGTCTACCTATTTTAAAGCATACTGACTCGGGGATTCTGGGAGTTGTAGTTCACCCATTCAATTAATTAAAGTATGTACCTGCAGAGTTAACTTTTATCATCACCGTTTCTCTCCTGCAACCAGTTCAATTCCCACCTTCACTCCGTAACCCAATAGAAGAATCGGAGGAGCCATTTCTTCGATCCGGAAAAAACCCGGAGAAGAAGAATCCCACCTGGTCCAACCTCCTTTATCCCTCCGGGGACTCCCTTCCTAAGCCTCGGCCCTCCGTCTCTCGCCGCCTCCTGCCTCTCCGTCGCGCCTTTCCCTGCCTAACCGCCTACCTCAGATTCCCTCAAGGAAACCTTAGCTGGGCGCCGCCATCTTGGAGTCAGCGAGGTCAACCTGGGGCGCTTTGCATGCCGGGAGGCCGTGGCGTTAAATGGACGCCCGCTTTCTCCTAGCAACCCCGGCGCGCAATGACGTCAACCGAGGCGCGCGCGGGCGGGGTTACGTACGTCGCGAGGGTTCCCGTCGGCGCCCGTTGCCATGGCAACGGGAGAAATTCCGTTGGCGCTTGTTGAGGGGAAAGTGTGAAGATGGCGATCTCCTCGCCTCAGCAAAGAGACCCCCCCGGAACTGTTTCTGTGCTTAAATCTTTCCCCATGTGATATTGTTTAAATTAAAAAAAATAAAATACAGCCCCCGCGCTGCCTTTTCTTGGTTGGGGGGGTCCCTCAAGTGAGGCCTGGAAGTGGTGCTGAAGCAAGGGGGGGGGACACTCCAATTGCCTGAGGGACCTTTTGAATGGACGATTTGAGGCTGCTGGGCCTCAAAAACGGTCCTCAGCTTCGTCTTTTCCTTACCAGGCAGCAGTGGACTACCTTGCAGGGCTGTTAGTCAGCCTTTCTAGGTGTAGTCCCTGCCCCAACAAGAGTCCCTCAGTGAGGGAGATGGGCAGTCCAGGTAGTCCTCGACTTAGGACCACAATGGAGCCCAAAGTTTCTCTTTGCTAAGTGATCCATGGTTAAGTGAGCTTTGCCCCATTTTGGGACTTTCTTGCCTCAGTGAATCACTGCAGTTGTTAAGCTAGTTAACAGTTGTTAAGTGAATCAATGCAGCTATTCAGCTTGTAACATGGTTCTTAAGTGAATCGCTGCAGCTGTTAAGCTAGTTTAACAGTTGTTAAGTGAATCACTGCAGCTGTTAAGCTACTTAACACGGTTAAGTGAATCACTGCAGCTGTTAACATGGTTAAGTGAATCTGCAGCTGTTAACATGGTTGTTAAGTGAATCACTAGCTTTAAACTAACAGTTGTTAAGTGAATCACTGCAGCTGTTAAACTAGTTAACAGTTGTTAAGTGAATCACTAGCTGTTAAGCTAGTTAACACGGTTAAGTGAATCACTGCAGTTGTTATGTTAGTAACCTGGTTGTTAAGTGAATCTGGTTTCCCCATTGACTTTGCTTGTCAGAAGGTGGCAAAAGGGGAATCACGTGACCCTGGGATACAGCAACCGTCATAAATATGAGTCAGTGGCCAAGGCTCTGGTTTTTGATCACATGACCACGGGAATTGCTACAACGGTTGTTAAGTGTGCAAAACTGTCATCGTTCACTTCTTTCGGTGCTAATGTAACTAGCGGTCACGGTCATTAAATTAACTCTTCTACGTTGTATTTAAATAGGGCAAATAAATGAATTAAACGCTGCCCCAGGAAAGGGGTAGAAGAGGACTACACTGCAAGGTGGTTGTATGCTAGTCTCAAAATGGTGATGGAGGGGAATCAGGCAAAGCAGGCCACAGTGCAAGGGTTATAAACTTTATCAAGAGGAGCGATAAGAGAGAGTTTTTAATTATCCATTAAAAAAACAGAAAGACAAAATAAGAGATTCTTAAGGTCTAGAGTGGATAAGTGGAGCTTCTTTGCAAGATAAAAATTGTTGGGACACTTAATGGAATCAACAGATTAATGGCAGACATAAACAATTAGACACAGGGACAGTTTCCAGAGCAAAGATATTTACCCATGTAGTAGGGCTGTATTACTATTATCCTTCTCATCTTTCCTTTTACCTTCTGCTATTGGTGTCTTATGATTTATCACTTTGATGTTTGTATCTTATGATTTATGATTGTACCTTATGATTTATGACTCTGTTGTTTCTATGTACACAGAGCTTATGCACCGGAGACAAATTCCTTGTGTGTCTAATCATACTCGGCCAATAAAGAATATTCTATTCTATTCTAAAAGGAAACATATTAAATCCACAATCTGGTCTACCAAACTCACCAGTGTAAGATATTACTTGTTCAATAGTCTTTGATTGAAAATGGCTCATTGCTCCTGGCGTATATTGGTATTTAGCCAAGAAAACCCCAGGAATATAAATTTTATTTTCAAATGCTTATAAATAGATGATTGCCAGATCCTGAATGAAAAACAATGGAATTGGATGGAATTAGGCATAAAATACTGGAAACACCAATACCTTATGTAACACATCATTGGAGAAACAGCTAAAGACAGTTTTAAAGTTCTTTTTAAAAAGGAAGGAAACGAATCTGAAATCTATCAATCTTTCTGGGGAAAAGATCCAAAAGGCATTTTGATCTTCAGTTAAATTAATCAGGAAGCAAAAATGCATTTGCACCACATCTCATTATTCATTCCACTAGAAATAACTCAAAAGTCCGTTGATTAAAAGCTACTCAGTAACTGGATCATCCATCAGAAGGTATCAATTGATCTTCTCTTTCCTTGTCTGGTACAAGGAGTCCTCGATTTACGATCACAATTGAGCTCCACATTTTTGTTGTTAAGTAAGTTTTGCCCCATTTTACAACCTTTCTTGCCACAGTTGTTAAGCAAATCGCTGCAGTTGATAAGTTAGCAACCTGGTTGTTAAGTGAATCCGGCTCCCCCATTGACTTTGCTTGTCGGTAGGCCGCAAAAGGGGAAATCACATGATTTTGGGACACAGCCAGGTTCATAAATATGAACCAGTTGCCAAGCGTGTGAATTTTGATCACGTGATCATGAGGATGCTGTAGAGGTCATAACTCTGAAAAATGCTCCTACGTCACTTGTTCCAGTGCATTGTAACTTTGAACAGTCACTAAACGAACTGTTGTAAGTAGAGGATTACCTGTATTCCTTTGTTGGCTTTTCAGCTGTGATTCCCAACCTGATCCACTAGAGGGCAGTACTTCTCACAGTTCTGTTGAGCAGCTTTGAATTTAGAAAAAGAGGAGAGTAAGTAAAGCACCGCCCTCTGTTGGCTGAGGTTGGCAACTGCAGCCAAAAGTCCAACTTTTTAGAACTAGACAAAGACATGCAAGTACAGTTGTTTTGGCTAACTTCATCTCCGGCTTCTAAAAATGGTCATTTTGGTGCTTCTGAAGGGCTGACAGTGGCCTTATCTGGCACCCCCAGATTATGGGTAGCAAGACACCCTCTGAAAAATGGCCGGAGACGAAACAACTAAAATGTAATCTCATTTAAATGAAATGCAGCTAATACGATTTATTGCAAGCCAATTCTGACTAGAGTGCGGCCTTCAACCTTTGCAAAATATGCCGCGTCTTGTGCCCTCCAAAAAGACTCAGTGCTGCCTGCACAAACACTAACCCGTCAATCACAGTAAATCATCATCTGTCTCCCGGACACGTTGGATTTTCTTCCCCAGCCTTTGGTTTACATCCGTTCTCTTCAAGCCAACACTTTAGGCCAGGGGTCAGCAACCTGCAGCTCTGGAGCCGCATGTGGCTCTTTCACCTCTCTGCTGTGGCTCCGTCACTCAAAATATGAGTCACAACCGCCAATGTGTGACACCCGCCGGCACGCGATTTATTGAGCTTTTCAACCCCTGGTAGGCCAACCATGGATAAATCCAAGAAAAGAAAAGTTTCAGAAGAAAACAGAACATTTAATTCAACTACATTTGCTAGTTTTGTGGCCGCTCGAGAAATAGTCAGGCATGGGAAGGGTTTTTGTGGCTCCCGGTGTTTTCTTTTCTGTGGGAAACGGGTCCAAATGGCTCTCTGAGTGTTTAAGGTTGCAGACCCCTGCTTTAGGCTGACAGATGTAGGTCTTGCTATGTACAGAATTTCCACAAAAACTCCTTATTCCTTCCCCAAACTTAACACCTCTGTAACTGGGCCAAACCAACTGGTTTTACACACTGGGGGCGAAAAGAAAAGACGCCGGAGAAATTGAAGACAGATCGAGGCCAGGAAGAACAAGCTCTGGATTTATTTTTCTCGGGCGGGCCGAGCAACGAGATCATTTGTCTTTTTCCGTCCTAGCCAAGAGACGCATTTCTCATCCCAGGTCACCTAAAACGCCACTGATAAAAAGAGGAACAGCCATTAAACATCGATGGAGCAGATCCTTTTGAACGATCTGTTCCTTACAGCCTGATTTGTATTTCCCATTAAAACTTAAAAAGTCTCATTGTGCCCATTGACTCATGACCGACCGTTCAGATATTTAGCCTGTCCCTAACAGTGGAGTATTGAAGGACTCTCTGCCTACGAGGGGCCTGGGAGATTACTTAATGGCCAGCAGGACAGAAGAGACGTTATCAGGGACAGGCAGGGGTGGGTTGCTGGGGATTCGCAGGGGTTCGGGAGAACCTCTAGCTAAGATTCTGTACATTTCGGAGAAGCCCCAAATCCCACTCCTGGCTGGCCTCGCCCACCCCTCCCCTCCCAGGAGTCCCCATGCAGCCCGTTTTGGATGCAGGAAGGTGCAGGGCTCGAGGAGGGTGAAAAATGGGCCTACTGGAAGTTCGGAAAGGCCGGAAATGGGCCCGTTTCCGGCCTTCCCGAACTTCCTCGAGGCCCGAGTTTTCGCCCTCCAGAGCTTGGGGAGGCCTTTTTCGCCGTCCCGGAGGCTCAAGAAAAGCCTCCGGAGCCTGGGGAGGGCAAAAACGCCTCTTCCTCTGCCATGGTGCAGGAGGCCAACTAGGCCACGCCCACCATAGCCACGCCCACCCAGCACCCAGGCAGAGAAACCCCTTGCTAAAATTTTTGAAGCCGACCCCTGGGGACAGGTCTACTCAAACAGAAGAACAGAGGGTGGGAAATTCAGCAGAGGAGCCCAAGCGGAAGCTATGGGTCAGAAGTATAGTTCACATACAGGAAGTCCTCGACTTAAGGCCACATTTGGGAACCAGACTTTTCATCGTTAAGCAAGGTGGTTAAGAGAGCCGCATCCATATTTTATGAGCCTTTCGCTATGGTTGTTAAGTGAATCACCACCGTTAAATGAACCATGTGGTCATTAAGCGAATCTTGCTTCCCCCTCTCCCATTGAATATGTTTGCCAGCAGGTTGCCAAGCACCTGAATTTTCACCACATGTGGGGATATTCCAGCGGTCGTAAGTGCGAGGACTGGTTGTAAGTCACTTCTTTTCCTTTTTATGACCTTCCTTGCCTCAGCTGTTAAGTGAATCACTGCGGTGGATAAATGAGTAACCTGGTTGTTAAGTGAATCCAGCTCTCCCCCCCACCTCCCTCGTTGACTTTGCCTGTCGGAAGGTCGCAAAAAGGGGATTACGTCGTTAACTGTGAAAAACGGTTGCAAGCCCCTTTTTTCCCCCACTGGCGTCGTAACTTCGAACGGCCACTAAACGAACCCGTTGTAAATTGGGGACTACCTATAATTCGTTAAAGAGGCAAGGCATAAAGATTCTTTCCAACACAACCATTAACAGCCCATTGATTCTTCCTCGATAAATGACAAGCAGAATTATATTGGAATATAGAGGAATATTGTGCTTTTCGGGACATCCTCCTTAATTCTTCCACCTTTTTAAAAAAAGTGTTTTAAAAACAAACAAAAAAAAAAAAAACAGGCACGGCACACATTCCAACCTCCATTTGTACGACCTTCATTTCCCATTTTAAAAAGTTGTGAGGTTTTTGGGTTCCCCCCCCCAAAAAAAAACAGCTGTAAACACAACCTTTCACTAGGGAAAGCCATTTAGTGCTACTTAAAGGATTGGGAGCACTGAGCTGTGATTTGGGGGGGGGAATGCATATTCAAATCCTGGTGCAACTTCCGTGCCGGTCCCAGCCTACCTCGCAGGGTCGTTGTGAGGATGACACGGAAGGTGTGTGTCTATTGCAGCTATCTCAGGTCTTCGGGAGGAAAGTGGGACGAAATGTTAGCAATAAATCTATAAATAAAATAAATAGAGCAGCGCCTGCCACGTGTCGAGGCCGAACGGGAGCGTGACCTGTTTAATTACGGTTACCTAAAAATCAGAAGCGAATTTCTTTGAAAAGTGGGGAAGCGGAACATCGAGAGCAATGTTTCTCCTTCATCCGATCGGGGGGAAAAAATATATCAGACGTTTGTTAGGAGTGGAAGGAAAGATAAAAACGGCACTGAAAGAAATGTGGGAAGGCTACAGAAGAGGAGGAGGTTGTGAAGACCAGCCTCAAACATTCCCAGGCAGGAAAAAGGCCCTAATTTGTTCTGGTTATATGGAAATAAACAAGAGGGAAGGGAAAGGGAGGGGAAAAGGGAAGGGAAGGGAAGGGGAAGGGAAGGGAAGGGGAAGGGAAGGGAAGAAAGAAAAAGAAAAAGGAAAGGAAAGGGAAAGGGAAAGGGAAAGGGAAAGAGAAAGAGAAAGGGAAGGGAAAAGGGAAGGGAAGGGAAGGGAAGAAAAAGAAAAGAAAAAGGAAGGGAAGGGAAAGGGAAGTGAATGGAAAAGGGAAGGGAATGGAAAAGGGGGAAGAGAAGGGAGAAGAGATGAAAGGAAGGGAAGGAAGAAGAGATGAAGGGGAGGAAAGAAAAGGAAGGGGAAGGAGGAGGGGAAGGGAAGGGAAGGAGGGAAGGGAAAAGGAAAGAAAAGGAAGAGAAAGGGCAGGGAAGGAAAGGAAAAAGGAAAGGAAAGGAAAGGAAGAGGAAGGGCAGGGAAGAGGAAAGGAAAGGAAAGGAAAGGAAAGGAAGAAGAAGAGGAAGGACAGGGGAGGGAAGGAAGAGGGAGGAAAGGAAGGGAAGGAAGAGGGAGGGAAGAGAAGGGAAACAAATGATAATGAAAAAGGGAAGAGAAGAGAAGGAAGGGGAAAGGAGGGAGGGAAGGGAAGGAAGGAAAGGAGGGGAGGGAGGGAGGAAGGAAGGAAAGAAAGAAAGAGAAAAAGGACAACAGAAAAAGGAGGGATGGAAGGAAGAAAGGAAGGAAGGAAGGAGAAAAAAGAGGAAGGCAAGCAGGAAGGAAGGAAGGAAGCAAGGCAATTCGCAGAACCCATTCATCATTTTCAAGTCCCGACTGCTGAAAAACGGGCCACGATTGATGTCCAGCTCCTTTGGGGCATCGAAAAGGAGAGTCCCGCTCACCCTAGATGCTTCGGTCCTGAGTTCTTTAAGTGGATAAAACTGGGTCGAAAAGTCCTAGAGACCCAGGGGCCGAAAAAAGAAAAAAAGAAAGAATCGCAGCTCATTGACAAGAGAACCCCACCAGCCGTCCATCCTGCACAAGTGGCCTCTTTAAGCTCCCCCATCGTCCTGCTCAGGAAGCTTTGATGGCCGGGTGCCGAGGTGGGGGTAGAAGTCCTTGGGGCGAGAGGGGCCGATGGGGGACGACCCGACGCCGGTTTTTGAGGCTCTGCTTCCGTAGCAAGTAGCGGGAATACTGCACCTCAGGCATGACCAGTTTGAGACACTGTTCGTCCAAGTGGGGTCCCGAACCCGGCAAGTCGTAGCCTACGATATCCACCTTGGCGCTGGGCTGCCACGGCCGGAGGTCTTTGTTCTTGATCTGCATGGCCGGGCGCAGCTGGGGCTGTCCGCGAAAGCAGTGGCGTGCCAGGCGCTCGCAGGCCTGGTGTAGGGCCCGGACCTCTTTCTGGAGGCAACCTTGGTCCATCTTGCTCAGCTTCTTCCAGAAGGTGGCATTGAAGTGGTCGTAGAGAGCAGCGTCGAGGGCGTTCCAGGCGCGGATCTGCGCCGCCACGTGGGCCGAACTGATGTTGAGCTTGGACTCCAGGCTGCGCATGTTCAGCTTGACGTAGAGAATGTCCTCCAGGTCCCAGGCCAGAAGATGGCGGAGAAGGACCAACGATTCGTCGAAATACTCCGCCAACATCACCAGGGAGAAAATGCCTTCTATTTGACGGATAAATTTGGGGAGGTACGTGGAGTCCTCGGGGTTGTGCTCGGGGTCTCCTCCCAGGTCGTACACCAAGGTGTTGTGCGCGTACATGGCGTACTTCTCATGGGACCGGTAGTACTGGGACGGGTTGTTGAGGAAGATTTCCATGGATCCGTTGGGTACCCGTCGAAATGCCGGGCAGTACTGATTGTAGTAACTGAAGAGGGATTCGAACATGGCCACCGGCTCGCGCAAGATGGTGATGTAGACGGTGTCGTTGGGCATGAGGTGGCGCAGCTCGTCGTGGTTGAAGCGCAGGTGGCTGGCGATGAGGCGGGGCGGGATGGTGTACGGGTGCACGAAGCGGGCCGAGAAGTTGTGGGGGTAGCAGAACTGGTGGTCGCAGGCGTGGTGGGGCAGGGCCACCGTCACGTTGTGCCGCTCCGCGAAACGGAAGAGCAGGTTCTGCACCGTGGTGCTGGCTGTTTTGTGGGTCTTCAGGAAGGCTACGGCAGTGTGCTTCGGGTGCGGCGAGACCCAGGGCGCGCAGCTGAAGGGTGGAGACTTTGGGAACCTACCAGGAGTAGAAATAAGACGTCCAAGGATACTCACTGCCACCTCCTGCCTCTTTTCTCTGACACCATAATTCGGCCCACGAACCATAAACTAGGTAAAGATTCCCCTCGCACATATGTGCTAGTCGTTCCCGACTCTAGGGGGAGGTGCTCATCTCCGTTTCAAAGCCGAAGAGCCAGCACTGTCCAAAAACATCTCTGTGATCATGTGGCCGGCATGACTCAACGCCAAAGGCGCATGGAACGTTGTTCCCTTCCCACCAAAGGGGGTCCCTATTTTTCTACTTGCATTTTTTATGTGCTTTCGAACTGCTAGGTTGGCAGAAGCTGGGACAAGGAACGGGAGCTCATCCCATTACACGGCGCTAAGGATTCGAACTGCCGAACTGCCGACCTTTCAATTGGCAAGCTCAGCGTCTTAGCCACTGAGCCACCTTACAGGTTTAGCGTTATGCTACACTAGGAGGAGACTCTACGGTGGGGAAACCGGACTTCCGGTCAGCAGAGGTAAAAGGATGCCGCACTAGGAGGAGACACTATGATGGGGGAGCTGGACTTCCGGTCGGCTCCAGAATTGAACGGGGGGCGTCCGTTTAGGACCTTCGTGGCTCTTTGAGTGTTTCAGGTTGCCGATCCCTGGTGTAGGATCTTCTGCTTGGGCAGGGGGTGGGGATTGGACTAGATGACCTAGAACAGGGATGTCAAACTCAAGGCCAGTGGGTCACATCCGGCCCGCTGGGTGCTTAGATCTGGCCCCGCGGAGCCGCTCTGGAATCAATCCAGCAACCCTTCTCTGCTTCCCAGCTTCGTTGGAGACCTCCCCCCCCCACTTCCCTCGTCAGGCGCTTACCAGCTGAAGTGGACACTCTGGCGCAGGAGCAGAGTGCCGGTGCTGAAGGCCAGCAGGAAGAGGAGGAGGATTTTCTTCCGAGACATCATCTTGAGGCCGTTGGGAAAGATCAGCCAAGCACAGGCCATGCCGGGGGCCTCGATCCGAGCGCGCGGCGAGTGCGAGTCCTGCCCTCATGGACGTCTACGGCAGGCAACCGCCGTCGAATAGTCTCAGGTTCCGCAGCAGCCAGACCAAGGCCTGTGACATGTCAAGGGAGAACCCAAAGGCAAAAAGCAAAAACACTTTTTTATTAAAAAAAATACACAAGTTTTTTATTTTTATATACATACACAAGGCACAGAAGAGGCTGTACTTCCTATATAAATCTATCTCAGCATCTACTTCTGTCCTACTATCGCAGCACCATTGAGGGTGTCCTGACATACGGCATTCTTGCATGGAATGGGAGCAGCTCTGTAGCGGACAAAAAAGCTCTACAGAGAATCATTAAAACTGCCCAGAATATCATCGGACGCCAGCTACCAGCCCTGGACGACATCTTCGCATCTCGCTCTTTGAGGAAGTTGCATAACATTCTTAGAGACTCTTCCCATCCTGCTCACAATCTTTTTGGACTGGCAGAAGATACAGAACAATTCAAACTCAGAACCACATGTCTTCTGAATAGCTTTTAATAGCCCAGAGCTATAATCACACTCAACAATGAACTAAAGTGAGCTGTTGGACAGCATTACTTGGTCTGTTGTGTGGATGTTTGGGTGGTTTAGGGGTGGGGAATTTGTGGTGCTGGAAGGGACCTTGGAGGTCTTCTAGTCCAGCCCCCTTCTCAAGCAGGAGACCCTGTACCATTATCAGACAAATGGTTGTCTAATCTCATCTTAAAAACCTCCAGTTGGAGCATTTACAACTTCTGGAAGCAAATCGTTCCACTGATTAATTGTTCTCACTGTCAATCAATCAATCAATCAATTAGATCAATCAATCAGAATAGAGCTGGATGGGACCTTGGAGGTCTTCTAGTCCAGCCCCCTGCTCAAACAGGAGACCCTATACAATTTCAGACCAATGGCTGTGTAGTCTCTTCTTCAAAACCTCCATTGATGGAGCTCCCACAACTTCTGGTGGCAAGCAGTTCCACTGGTTGATTGTTCTCACAGTCAGGAAGTTTCTCCTTGGTTCTAGGTTGCTTCTCTCCTTGAGAACGTCTTTGATTCTCTCTTAAATCAAAGAACGAAACCACAAAACTGTGATTTCCCCCCCCCCCCTTATTCTCCTGGCAAATCAGGAGCCTTACAAATCAAAAGCCTGCCATTCTCGGCTTTAAATCGACCCCCTTATTATTCTGCAGAAGGGAAAATCCAACTTCTGGGTCAACTTTCTCAGTCTTTCCCCGCAAACACAGATGAAATCAGAAACATCCTGGGGGTGGGGGTGGGGGGGAATCACTTCCTTCCAACCACAAAAGGAGATCAAGTGTCCGAGATCTGTCTTTTTCTTACAATCTTACAGCAAAACAGAAAAATGAAACTTGTTTTACACCCCCTGCCCCACCCCCAGGTTTAAAAAGGTAAAGGTTCCCCTCGCACATATGTGCTAGTCGTTCCTGACTCTAGGGGGCGGTGCTCATCTCCGTTTCAAAGCCGAAGAGCCAGCACTGTCCAAAAACATCTCTGTGATCATGTGGCCGGCATGACTCAACGCCAAAGGCGCACAGAACGCTGTTCCCTTCCCATCAAAGGGGGTCCCTATTTTTCTACTTGCATTTTTTATGTGCTTTCGAACTGCTAGGTTGGCAGAAGCTGGGACAAGTCACGGGAGCTCATCCCGTTACGCGGCGCTAAGGATTCGAACCGCCGAACTGCCGACCTTTCGATCGACAAGCTCAGCGTCTTAGCCACTGAGCCACCACGTCCCTTACAGGTTTAGCGTTATGTAATTCAACAGGCAGAAGGCATTTTGATTGGGGGAAGCAAATCTTGCCGAAAACCACTGTAAGGGACACACACATCTGGAATTTTGAAAGATAAAGACAGCTCTTTCAAGATGCTCCTGAGCACTGCAATCCATTCTGTCTCTAACTCATCTAATAAATAACAATAATAATAATTCTTAGCTGCTATGTTGCTTCGTGTTATCTCTGTTGCTTTCAACTTGATTTTTAAAAAATTATCTTTTCAACTGGTAGATGTCCAGGATCACGGATCTAGATGGAGGGGAGGGGGCTGTTTAAATTTCTAAAAAGAAAAGAAAAATGAAACTTTTCAACTCACCGTATGTTTTTTAAAGGACAAAGCTTTCTCAGCAGAGGGCTCAAATGCCCGATAGATTCACATACAGTACAGAAATGAACACCACCAAAAGGATCAACCGAGGAAACTCAAAGAAGTTACACAATATCTTGGTTTAACACCGAGCTGCATTCTGCAAAACCTGTTGGACAGGGGGTGAAATGCTCCCGGATCAGACCGGATCACTTGATCCGGTAGCGATGGAGGCGGGTGGTTTGGAGAACTGGTAGCAAAAATCCCTGCCCCCCCCACCATGCCCAGCTGAGCCGCACAATCATCAGAAGGCTTTTTTTTTTTAACGCTTAAAAGCATTTTTTCTGCAACCTATTTGCGAAAAAATGCTTTTAAAAGTAAAAAAAAAGCCTCGGATGATCGCGCAGCTCAGCTGGGATCATCAAAGGCTTTTAAAAGAAAAAAAAAACCCTTTTTTCTTTTAAATGCCTCTGACGATCAGGCAACGATCAGCTTGGATCGTCAGATGCATTTAAAAGAAAAAAAGTCTCTGCCAATCAGGCAACTCAGCTTAGATTGTCAGAGCCTTTTGAAAGCATTTTTTTACAACCTCTTCGCCAAAGAGATTATAGAAAAAATGGTTTTAAAAGTAAAAAAAAAAAAAAAAAAATTGGCCATGCCCACAGAACCGATAGTAACAAATTTTAGATTTCACCACTGCTGTTGGATCAATAAACACAAGTTGAAATGGGATTTGATCGGAAGCGTTGCAGTGAGACAGTCAGGGATTAGTGCGCTCTGATGAGCCCCGCGAAATCCCGGGCTGACAAACTGCTGCAGAGGGGTCTTTGGACCGGATCTGTCCTGTAGGGACAGGGAAGAAGGAGAGGCACCTCGAAAGACCAAGAGGAACAGGCAAGTTCCTCGGAGGTCAGAGGAAATTCTCCCTGACTCTGCAACGGGGGGCGGTGGCCATTACGACCGCCAGTAAACTAGGGCAACCGGACTAAGCATTGTGCAGGAGCGGAGAATTAAGTGGAATATTGATGCCGGATGAGTGACATCTAACTCATAGGCAGAAAGGGAAAAAAAAGAGGATTTTCAAAATAATTGTAAATGTTCTGGCGCTATAACAGCGGCTAATAGGCGTGGGAAAGGATGGAAGAAGAAGATTAAGGCAGAAGTTATAAAGTGAGAAAACCCAATCAGAAAATTGTTTTTTTGGATTTAAGTATTTGGAGAACTTTAAAAAAAAATTAGAAGAATTAAGAACCTGAAAAGATCCTTCTTTAATTTGGGAACTTTAAAGGGAGGAAGATTAAAGAATGAAGAAAAACCTGTAATAGAAAGGACCGGTTAATGACTTAAAAATTGAAACTAAATTGGAATGTAACGTGGAATTTGGACTATGCAAATCTGGGCTGAATTTTAAACTGATTTGGTGCATATAAAGGTGAAAAAGAAGAAGAAAAATTAAATAAGTAAAAACTGTTGAAAGCGGACTGCAAACAAAATGGATACTTTTCAAGCTTGTTGATTGTAATAGTGGATTGTAGAGGGCCATCTTCAGGAGAAAAAAAATTATTACAACACTGAATCTTGGTTTTGGAAAAAAAAATTTGGACTTTGAAAGGGATAACAGCATGTGAGAATTTTTAAGGAGGCTTTGTTTGTTCACAAGTGTTTTGGCTTTGAGGAAGAAAAAAAAAAGAGGATTACAACGTAACTTCAATTGGAATAATATCAACCTAGAAAGAACAAAATGGTGCAGGAACTTAAGGAAATGATGAAAACGAGGTAGTTATCATTGAAAATGGAAATAAGGGAAATGACCACAATGTTGCATGGAAAATTGAAACTTGATGACCAAAAAATTGACTTAGGATACATTCAAGCTGACAAAGAAATAACTAATGAGAAGCAAGAAAAAGAGACTGACAATAAAGAAAAAGACAAAGACAAGGAGATAAATTATGGAAAATTAAATGATTATGTGGGTAGTAATAATAAAAAGGAGAACTTTAAAAATTACATTGGGATTAACAATCTGATAGATGGCAGTCCAGTCTCTTCTTGAAAGCTTCCGGGGATGAAACTCCCACAACGTCCGAAGGCAACTTCTCTTCCATGAGTTGATTGTTCTCACTGTCAGAAAATTTCTCCTTATTTCCAGGTTGAATCTCTCCTTGATCCGTTTCCATCCATTCTTCCTTGTCTGGCCTTCGGGTGCTTTGGAAAATAGCTTGACTCCCTTCCTCCTCTCTGGGGCAGCCCTTCAAATACTGGAAGATGCTCTCCTGTCTCCCCTGGTCCTTCTCTTCACTAGACCAGCCAGGCCCAGTTCCTGCAACCGTTCATTGTATGTTTTAGCCTCCAGTCCCCTCATCATCCTGGTTGCTCTTCTCTGCACTCTTTCTAAGAGTCTCCAAATCTTTTTTTATAGTGCGGCGACCAAAACTGGATGCAGTACTCTAGATGTGGCCTTACTAAGGCTTTATAGAGCGGTGTTAGTACCTCTCTTGATCTTGATTGTATCCCTCTGTTAATGCAATTTAGGATTGCATTGGCTTTTTTGGCTGCTGCTGCACACTGCTGAAGACCAGGAGACGGTGAATTCTAGTCCTGCCACGAAGCTGGATGACCTTGGTCCAGTGACTTTCTCTTGGCCTTAGAAAAGCGGCAATGGCAAACTACTTCTGAAAACTTACATTGCAGTATCCTTCCCCTGGAGTGGGGTGGGAATGGAGATTTTGCAGTATCCTTCCCCTGGAGTGGGGTGGGAATGTAGATTTTTTTGCAGTATCCTTTCCCTGGAGTGGGGTGGGAATGGAGATTTTGCAGTATCGTTCCCCTGGAGTGGGATGGGAATGGAGATTTTGCAGTATCCTTCCCCTGGAGTGGGGTGGGAATGGAGATTTTGCAGTATCCTTCCCCTGGAGTGGGGTGGGAATGGGGATTTTGCAGTATCCTTCCCCCAGAGTGGGTGGGAATGGAGAT